GTCTATGTATGGAAAGATCCGTACACTCTGGAGACAGAGGTACGCTGCGATGACGATCATCATTTTTGTGAAAACTCTGGGCGCTGTCGAGAGTCCAAAAGGGAGGGCTTTATACTGAAAATGGCTTTCTGTGACTGCAAAACACAAAAACTTCCTGTGAGATGGGAGGATAGTTATATGAAAATATACATCTGCTTTGTAATGTTGCTTTGTAATGTTGTCATTCAGAATTTCCTATAGAAGATAAACTGGTTGAGTCCCCTGAGGTCCATAATAGGATGGAGTCCTCTGTCTTTTTTGGGGACCGTAAAATAACAGGAGTAGAACCCGTGTTGATGCTATGCTGCTGGGACTGGTTCTATAGCGTCCTTTTGAAGAAGGTTCTGGATTTCTTACAGGACCATATCAGTCGAGGCACTGAAAAGATCCTCACCTTCAAATGGAAGGTCCTCAATGAGAGTCCTGGTGTCTTGCGGTAGGGCAGTAGAACGCAACCAGGCATGACGTCGGAGAGTAACTGCTGAAGTCAGCATTTTGGTGGCCACATCCAATGTGTGCTTAGCTGCATTGAGTTGATGCTTAGCCAAAAGCATTCCCTTCTTCTGAATCCTGTGAGCCTGATGGTTAGAGTCCTCAGGGAGGGTTGCAATAAATTCAGACATCTGCTCCCAAAGAGCAAACTGATATCTCCCCATACATGCTGTATAGTTTGAGGTTTTGATGCCAAGTGCTCTTGCAGAATAAAATTTTCTTCCAAACAAATCAAGTTTCCTTCCTTCTTTCTCAGAGGGGGTGGAATGACTGCATCTGCCCTTGGAGGAGGAAGTGACTATGGCCGAATTAGGTTTAGGGTGGGTAAACAGAAATTCAGCACCCTGCTCCTGCACCTTATACATACGATCTACCCTTCGGCTCGTGACGGGGGTAGATGCCGGTTGAGACCATTGGAATTTAGCCACCTGAAGGAGGACTGAAGTAATCGGTAAGGCAATCGGGGTAGAGGTGTCCATCTGGATGATATCGAACACGGAGTCTGTCACAGTAGGCAGGGGCTGTACCGTAGACAGAGTGAGCGTGTTAGCCATCCGCTTGATGAAATCACCATGGGATTTTAAGTCTTCTGAAGGGGAGATTGGGAGATCATCGCCCACTTGTTGAGGTTGCGAGGGTTCCACCGGAGGATCGAGGTTTTCATCCCAATTGGGAGGAAGCGTCTGAAGAGGCGGAGTGCTCAGATGGCTCAGAAAAAGACATAGGTAACATCGCTATCAATGGAGTTGGATTCAATGGCTCTTTAAACTTTGGAACTGTCAGGTGCAACAGCTTGGGAGGTTTGCCCGTTGGCCTCGATGGTTGGGGCCTCACAAACTCTATGTGAAGAGGTGGACTGAAGGTCCCATTCCATTGGTTGGGATGGGAACCATGGCATACTGCCAGTAAATGGATAGACCCCATACCTGTATTGCCACTGCCATTGGTCCCAGGAGGGCGGTGGGGGCGGGTGGATCAGACCTGATCGTCGGTCTTGATCATCAGGTCAGAGCGGTGAAGGACGGACAAATGCATCAGCTCCACGGTCTGAGTGCAGACTTTTGACACTGGAAGACCGGGAGATCTGTTTCAAGTTCATATTGTGCTCAGAGTTAGTGAGCTGGATAGGACACAGCGAAGGTGACCACAGTACACCTTGTGGCTGCTCTCGGGTCAAAGAGTCAAGGGAAGCAGCCCTCATAGGATTCAGTTCCAAGGCCCTCCGAGGGGTCAGCGGAGATTGCACAGGGGGCATTTTCTTATGCTTTTTATGCTTGACTGGCCAATCGTCCTTGCCTTCCCTGCATTTTTTTGGAGTATGGGCTAAGGACTAAGATGTCTGGGCTGAGCGTTTCAGCATCGGGTGGTCGACATCTATGTGAGTCGATATTGGGGACAGCACAGCCGTCGAAATTGACGCATGCCCTGAAGTGTCCTGTGACGACATCAGTGAAAGTGCTAACTCCAAATGCGCAACGCAAAGTCTAGCAGCTCTGTTTTTCCTTGTCTGCTTCGAAAACTTCGCGCAATGAGCACTAGAGTTCACTTGGTGCGATTCCCCGAGGCACAAAACACAAAGCGAGTGTCCGTTGGGGGGGGGGGATCTTGCTGCCGCACTTAAGGCACCGTTTAAAGAAACCCCGGAGCAGGCGTGAAAATCCCTTTTGCTTTCAAGAGGAATCAATCAAGGCACACTATATCCCAGAGGTGTGACGCACAGAGACCATGAAGAAAGATCACTTGGTGTGTTATTAATGCTCCTTCACAGACTACATATGAAGAGCAGTATTCAACATTGTCCAATGACTGGCAGGCAAATATCCAGCTTTTAAAAATGAACAACAGTAGTGTAATGTTTCAGACTCATGGACAGGGGTCACCACTGCCTTCAGTAATGGGCAAATGGAAGAAATAACTTTGAACAAAATTCCTGTAACACGCTACTTATATGGAACTATTATTTCTGAATGAATTCTGAATAAATTCATCTGGCCCCTCCTCCCATAATTTGCTGTAAACTGTTGGGTCACTGGAATATAATGCCTGCTCAGGATCTTTCTGAGAGCAATGAACTGTTCCATTGGGGATTTTTTTTTTATAGCCTCTGGCCTCCCTTCTCCCTGTCGTTATACCATGCTAGGACACTGGAAAATGGTTTTTCAGAATGTCATCTTGTTTTAAGGGTTAGTGATTTTATACTATCAGGGTTGGTTTTATTGTCGTAACTGCCCTGAGCCTGCACGCAGGAAGGGTGGAATAGAAATTAAATACATATATCTTAATGTGGCAATTTTTTGCATTGCACACTAATATTATTTCATTTTTTAAAATATATGTAACAACATTCATTGGATTAATAATGCAAAATTAAGGTTTGAGCTGCGGTGGCTCAAGTGGTTTTCTGAGAGCAATGAACTGTTCCATCGGGGATTTTTTTTTAATAGCCTCTGGCCTCTCTTCTCCCTGTCGTTATACCATGCCAGGACACTGGAAAATGGTTTTTCAGAATGTCATCTTGTTTTAAGGGTTAGTGATTTTATACTATCAGGGTTGGTTTTATTGTCGTAACTGCCCTGAGCCTGCACGCAGGAAGGGTGGAATAGAAATTAAATACATATATCTTAATGTGGCAATTTTTTGCATTGCACACTAATATTATTTCATTTTTAAAAATATATGTAACAACATTCACTGGATTAATAATGCAAAATTAAGGTTTGGGAGGTCTATAAAAATGCTGAAGAAAATAGCCTTCATCAAAATGAACAAAGCTTTGGGGAAGTGAAAGTTTTAGGGGGGGGGGTTCCTATTTGAAGCTGGCATTTCAAAGGGATGGGACTTTCCATCCAAGCTCTCCATCCTCTGTGAAGTTCTGAACAAGCTTCAGTCAAAAATGTAGGCACAACATCGTGCCGTGCCCTCTTCCCCCCCCCCCTTCCTCAGTTCTAATATTCAGGTTTACTGCATGAACAACTTGGCATCTGTGGGTTGTACACACGTCAGACTCTGTCCTTTCTCCAACCACTGCTACCCAGCTTATTCAATAATCACATATACAGGCGGGAAGCCAGACATGGTGGCACCAACACTTCAGCTTATAAGGGCGTCAAATCAGTAAAGACAGATTCTGCCTCTCATCTGCCTGCCGTCTGCCTTTTCATTGGGATTTTTGGTAATATTTTTTATTGTTTAAAATGGCAATGTTATATTGGGATCTGATTAGTTTCCCTTGCTTCCTTAATAAGCAGCAGGTCTAACCTTGCACAGGAGCTTCTTGCTCTCATCAGGGCTCATTTTACTCATTGAGCGAGGAGGCTATTCAGGACTGTGAATGTATCTGAACTACTGTTGCATTTTTCTCTTCTTCTTTGATAACTTTAATGCTCCCATCCACTCCACTCCAGTCTGGTTAGCTTTCAGCTTCTCGTTCTGATATGTTTGTGCAGACACAACCCTCTTCATTCCTTTCATATTTAGAAAATGACCCTCTCCCATCCCTAGCAAATTCTAGGCATGGAAAAACAGTTCAGAGAACAATATCCTTGCTTTTCCTGACATCACCTCTGTCCTTGGGTTAATTTGTAGTTCAGCCACCTCTGACCTGCAACGGGAAGACCTTCCTAGAACCCAGCTTCCCCTGAGATGTGACCCCGGTCATAAGACTCCTGGATCAGAAGCAAAGTCTACTCATTTTTTTTTACAATGGCGAGCAGAAGTCAGTTTGGCATGGAGTCGGGCAAGAATGAGAGTTTCATTCTTTATTTCTGGATTAGGGCTGTCATCTGAAAGCTGTTTGGCAGATAACGGCCATCAATTTATCCATAGATAAGCCAAACTACTCATTTTCCATGGTGCCAAAAAAACCCCTTTCTTATTTAGCAGTTTTCCAGCCATCCTTACAAAATTGCCCATTAAAAATAATTACATTGGCTACACTTTCTATCAGTGACATCCCTGAAATAGGCCAATCTGACTAACTAGCTTTGTGACACCAAACCTCTGACTGCACAGGGTACTCATGTGACTAGTCCAGGGAGAATGAAGAGCCTGCAGTCAGGGAGGGGGAAATGGTGCTAAAGACAAAATAGTGGTACCCAAGTGGGTTTCAAAAATAAAAAGGAACATTCTCTTAATTTTTTTAATGAGGAAAATAATCTACCTCCTCTAAATTTGCTGGATTTTAACTACTGAAACTAGCCTAGAATATTCATTGCAAATCTGATTTAACCCATTAACCAATCAGCTCACTGAATATATTTTTTTTAAGTATGTGTTTTGAAGATACGTACAATGATCATTTCTCTCAATTTGGAAGTACAAACTATCCAAAGAAAAACTGCCTTCTTAAAAATGATTACTTAAATAAGCAGGAGATGCACATAGAGTGTTTTTCTTGCTGTCTTTGAGGGGGGTGGTTACAAATAGAAAAAATTATGCAGATTTGAAAACAAGATTGCCCCTTTTGTTACCTCGATTTTTTAGGGGTGGCAGAGTAGGGTGAAGATCTTTGTTACAGAAATCTTGATCTGTACAGCATTCAATTAATCTTCGTGGGTGAGACACTGGAGTGTCCTGCAACAGATATAATTTATAAGGGGTGAGCTGCAAATATACCAAATAAGTTAACACACAGTAATAAAACAACAAAAATAAAAATATTCTCAAAATGCTAAAAGCTTACCGGATGTGGCAATTGTGTATTTATGGATAAGTGTCATAGAGATGGATCCAATTGTATTATAAGCTGCCTTAAGTTCCACAAGGGAGTAAGGTGGCTAATAAGTTTTCAATAAATAAATAAATAAAATCCAACCAGCTTTTTCACCAGTGAAACAAGGGAGAATGAAGGATGGGGTCCCCTATGACCCCCCCCCAAAAAATGCTATGGTGTATCATGATTGCACATCAGCAACAACCATGTGGGATGTGGGCTTTAGTAAGGAGGGAAATTGGGCAACATTGTGCAAAAATGCTGGCTGGGCACAACCCATACTCTAAAATTCACAATACTATACTATGATCAATTCATCAATTCAAGATACTTCTTTTTAGAGAGAGAGATTAAAGGTCCTCAGCTGTGGGGCTCCTTTCCTACACAATTAACTTTTCACAGCTAATGTTACGCACTAAGATTACAATGGCTTCATAACTATGAATCAATCTCAATGCCAGTATATCCTACAGGTTAACACTCATGTCATCTATTATTCTGTCCCACCGCTTCTCAAATACAACTATATAGGTGTTTACTGGTTTGTGTTGATTGGCTACCAGATAAAGACTACAAATATCTTCAAAGCATGACCCCGTGTGCTAGTTACCTTACATGTGGTAGACGCTTTCAGTAAGTAAGAAGAAAGCAGCATGCCACCCTTCCTGATTAAACTCCAGGGAAATAAAAACACACAAAGGCCAGATCAAGTTTGGAAAACATTCTTACCCGACACTGGAAGTCGGAACCCTCTAACCCTAGACAGCCTGAGGTAAGAGTCTGTCCTCCAGAGTCCTCATCTTCTATCATTGCAAAACAATAGCCATCCGTTCTGAATAGGAGAGAAACACTTATTTAACCAGCAGTTCCCATAAAAGCAGTAGTAAGCATACTACATAATTCATAGATTATCTTACATTAAAGGATGAAAGGATGTTTCAAAGGCTGCGAAAATAAAACTCTTCAGTACTAGATTCACTCTAGAGAAGGATTTTGTTTCCAGTCAGTTCCAAGCTGCTAGGAATCTTATTCAAGATCCAAAGGCAGTAATGTAAGAGATGAGGGTATTGCTGGATTACTAAATAAATGCCACATTTAGAATCTGATGCTAGAAAACGTCAGTTAAATGTTGAAAACTCAGAATGTTTAAGTATTTGGACAAAGAGCTTGCCTGAATTTTGAAAAGCATGTAGTTTTAGGAAAATGGTAGCATGATGCCTGTGGGACGCAGTCTGCAATTCATCATCATTGTTTCAGGTTTCCCCAAGGGCCACGATAGGTGGAGAAAGCCAGTGAATGTTTGAAAATACTGAAAACAAACGGGGGAGGGGGGATTCAACCCAGAACAAATCAGGTAACCAAAAAAGGATGAAAAAAGAAGAAAATCCCTGGGTGTAGAAATGGCAAGGTCAATTTTTTTTAAAAGCTAAAATTATATTAAATCAAAGACTACTTCATTTTTTGCTTTTTTGGAATTGACTTTGCTATTTCTACATACGTGGTTTTTCTTCTTTTTTTCAACCTGTTTGAAAATGCTCACAAAAGTTTTAAAATACTCACACAAGTTACAAATTAATACGTGAAACAGCTGAGAAATATATTTCAGTTCATGCAAACCTTCTATTTTCTTAAGTCTATGAAGTTTAAACAAATTTTTTTGAGCCCTAAGGATATTTCCAGTACCACTTCCTGTTAGAAAAGTGAACTTGACTCAGTAGTCAGATTGGCTCAGTAGTCAAATTGGCTCAAAAGTCAAACTGACTGAGTAGTCAAGCCATCATTTGTAACAGCCACTGAATCCCCTGGGTCTCCTGGCTGACTTATCCTGATCCCTTCTGCTCCAAGGCCCAGTAAGTCATGAGAGCATTTGAAGAGGTGCTAGTTTGTGCTTACATAGGGGCTATACACGTCTCCCCTTCCTCCCAATATCCTGGGCACTGTACTTGAATTTGCAGCTTTTGTGGCCCTGTGCACCACCAACTTCTTCCTCGTGCACAGTGCCTGGGGGACTGGTAAAGCAGCTTCACAATGTCAGTGTTGGATATATTTTGCTAAAGAATGGGGGGACACAATGAGTGAGAAAGCGTCTTCCGAGAACTTAGTTTGCTCCTTCTTGAACAGCCTGATGTGCAATGAAACTGCAAAGAGAATTATACCACTACATGTCCTCTCTCTCTCTCTCTCTCTCTCTCTCTCTCTCTCTCTCTCTGTGAACAACACTGAGAAGCTTCCTTTGAAAATCTCAGAAGACAGTCACCAGGTGCACATCTCTTCCAGATTCCTCATGCATGATTCTTAAGTCTCAGACAAAGACCTTTCCCAACACCTGCTACCAAAGATGGTTTAACTGGAAAATATTTTCCGCCCATACACTAACGGGGCGCATTTTAGAATTCTGGCACCCAAAACTCCTTTATAATAAAGGAGAGATACATTCTTCCTACTCCCTGCAACTGTGTGTTATGCTTGTTATCTTGGCCAGGGCAGGAGTTTGCTGAATAAGTTCACTATCGGATGGTCACAACTGACAAGTGGGTTCAGACTGGCCAATATTGTCTACATTTACTAACACCACAATGTATGTTTATGCAGAAGCAAATCTCTTTGAGTTAAGGGGACCCATGCTCAGAATTGCAACCGCACAGTACTGGTAGATCTGAGTACTGAGCACCTTAAAGACCAGCAAGCTTTCGACAGTCAAAGCTAGCCAGATACTGGTATCAGCCAAATGGGAGCTTTGACTCTCGAAAGCTTACACCCCAAAAAACTTGTTGGTCTTTTAAGACGCTATTAGACTCAAGTCTTGCTCTTCTACTATGGAGTAACATGGCTACACACCTAAAACTGTATACTGTTGAGAAATTTAAATACGGAGTTTAACTGACTATGCAATGCAAGTCCAATACTGAGATTTTCTCATTATATTTGCTTATATAGGTCTATTTTTCATTAAAAACAGAAGACTTTTCCTGCATCTACACATTATTGCTGAGGTCTACATACCATTCCTGAGGCCAAATAACAATGTGTTCTTTTATTTGCAACGATGTTAATAATTCTTATTATGAATTTTTATTTTTTTCCTATTGTGCCCTGCTGGCAAAAGCTAAGATATGCTTACATCTTAGGTGTTACTGCTGTTTCTAGCCAGGGTACATTTGGAATAATTGTCTGAATAAAAAATTAATCCATTTACAATATTGTATTCTGTAACTATACCTCAACAAAAGTTTTAAACACTGTTTTACATTTTATATGTCACGTTCTGAAAGTAAGCGTGCAGTATTCAGCAAGACAATATTCCAGGTGTGTAAAAAAAAATTCCCCGAATGTCTTCCCCTTCATGGTTTTAAAATTTCCATAAATTCCACATCTCTAAAGCACAAAGAAAGGTGCACCTCATACCCTAATGTATAGGAATAAATGAGAATAAATAAGAAATCAGAATAACCTATAATGGAAAATAGGGAACATTTATTTATTGACTTCATTCATCCTCTGCTTTTCTCTCTCCCCAAGGGAACCCGGAGTGGCTTATAGTATTTTCCCCTTCTCCATTTTATCTTCACAACAATGCTGTAAGGTAGGTTAGGCTCAGAGTGTGTCACTGGTCTAAGGTCACCCAGCAAAATGCCATGGCAGAGTGGGGATTTGAGGGGTTAAAAAGAGGAATTATCAATATTGCAGTAAAGAGAAAAAAAATGGAGCAGCTCAACCTACACCCCTGCTTACACAAAGGCCAGTCAGAAAAGGCAAGAGCTGGTGGGATGGAATACATAGTTACACACTTGTCTACTTATTTACAGGGTGAGTTGGCAGTAGAATGATTATTTACAAAACCAAGCACAACTCAACCCTGCCACCTGCCACCCACTATTTCTGCACTTTTCTTCCATGTCTCACATCCAGTACACAACAGGAAGAAAAACTTTTAAAACAATGGAGCACAGTAAGGTAAGAAGAGAAGAAATGATTGGATTTATATCCTACCCTTCACTGCCCAAAGGATTCTCAGAGCAGTTTACAATCTCTTTTCCCATCCCCCCAAAACAGATACTCTGTGAGGTAGGTGGGGCTGAAAGAGCTCTTTCAAGAACTGCTTGTGAGAGAACAGCTCTGAAAGAACTTGTAACTGACCCGAGGTCACGCCAGCAGCTGCATGTGAAGGAGTGGGGAATCAAACCTGGTTTTCCCAGATTAGAGACTACACTCTTAACCGCTACACCAAACTGGCTGGTAAGCTGGGGGAGGGGATGAGATGTGGTACCTCTTGCCCACAGAGTCTGTATTTGCTAAAAAAAACCCCCCATTTGTGCTTTCTGGAATCAAGAATATTCATGTTTATAAAATGTGAATTACAGCCTTGTGAAGCCTCAATTCGCACCAGGGCTCTCTGGAGAAGGAAGACATATTTTAACCCATCAACCTACCCCACAGTTTTGCTTATCAAAACCAGCGTCCCTGCTCTGATTTAGCTTTTCAATAGGGAAAATGCTGTGTCCTTTAGAAACACATTTCTTTGCCTTCAAAAATTCTAACAAAGCTGAAAGCCTATTTTTGATCAGCAAAACCAAGTTGAAGTGTTACCTCCCTCTCCCTTCCCTGCATAACCTTCATGCAAACCGAGGCTACAACTGATGCTGCAGGAGCCTAAGATTTGTATTTTATAAAACAATGGAGACACAGGATGTTCATGTGACCTGATATTACCCTTAGACATGGGAATGTGACAGGTGTATAAATATGTGTGGATGGATTCCCCAAATCTAAACAAACCCTACCCAAATAAATGCAAAGACAGTCTAGTGATTGATTTACAAAGACAGACTCCCCTAAAATGTATCCTAAACAGGTTAGTTATAATTTGCTACTTCTGAAGCATAAGCTATTTATGTAGTCCAGAGAAGCAGGCATTTCCTAATTACTTCTACTGTACTTTAATGCAACATATGGGGGTAATTCAAGTAAGACAATTGTCCTTCTGGGTACCAATGATTATGACTTCATTGCTCAAGTTCAGGAAAGAAATTATAGGGAGGGCTGCCAAGAAGAGACTAAAAGACATCCATTAGGGCGGGATATTATATTAGCTTATATTTTATGTATTTGTATAATGTCTTTGATGCAGAGAAACAAACTAGGATAATTGAGGAAGACAGCAACCAAACATTGGATAGCAATTAAGGTTTGGTTTTGGGTTTTTTTCCTTCTTTCATTTTTAAAGGGACAATCAACTAATGTAGAAGCCTCCTTGTAGAGAAAGCACGGAACTTTTATGCCGTAAGAATAAAGACCAAACTAGGTGTATCCGTCCTTCTTTCCTTGGCAGATTCATCACTTAGTGGCAAGGAACAACTGGATCCAACATCAGTGTACTGTGCTTTAATACTACAACAGGATTTTTGGTGTGTTCTATTTTCACCAAGAGAGAACTTTTATGGCCGTGAAAAACACCTAAAAAAATGTAGCCTGTAACAGAAATGCTGACAGACTGTGAAGTAGAAGGTTTTGTTTTAATTAGAGATTACCTAGACCAAGGAAGTGATCTTAACGGAGATCTTTTTAAAATGTCAGATGAGAGAGATGTAGACCAGCAGCTTTGCAGCTGTTTAAGTTAGTCTCATTCGGGATGGAAGCTACAGCATCTTAACTATCAAACTTGGCCTGACAACTAATTTTTCTGTTCAAATAATCAAGAAACATCTCTGAGAGAACTTCCTTTTCCTCACACAGTTTGCCTACTCAGTGATTCTCTATAGATATGCCTATAAGTACAGGCCATATTGATATAGGATACAAATCCAACACGGAGAAGAGGAGATTGAGAGGGAA